CGCACCCCTCGGTTTTGTCCCCCCCCCTCGCTCAGCCAGTGAGTGGGAACCGGTCTGTATGTGGGATCCGAACCCTCAGCGGGAGCGCTGCCGCGCTTCCCAAGCGGCGCAGTGCGCCACCGGGCCGGCCCGTAAAAAAAAAAAAAAAAAAAAAATTTTTTTTAAGAAACTACGAGTTAATATCACCACTGACCTCACTGGGACTTTGTCAAGCTCACAGTGGCAGATGAGTTTTCCAAAATTACAAATTTTACTTGAAAGCTCAAATTTTATCAGACAATGAAAACTGTTACTTGTTCTCCTTGAAGAGAAAGGATTACATGTTCATATTTGAGAAAATGCCTGCCAAATACCCAAGTCTGAATAATCATAGTTATATCTGCCAGTTGTTCTTTAAAGCCAAAATGGTGTTCCATGATAAAAGTGACTGATTCAGCCAGCAACTCAATCGCAGAAGTGCTTTTCCTCAAGTCAACCATCATCCTTTTTACATAGCAGGAAAACTCTAATGTGTGCTTCCCATTTCATCATACAGAATATTTAAAAGACTCATGGGTTGAAAGTTAACAAAATTATTAATTTTTACTGCTTCATTAAGGACATTCCCTTGTCCCCTCTTTTTAACTGCAAGTGTGTGGTGGTGAAGAAACTATGACTAGTTCACTTTGCTGACCAGTTCAGTTTGATGCCACTGCCTTGATGTTGTGCTAAGAGGCCAGCAGTTTCAGCCACCAAACTTTTGCACCGATCAGTGTAAATACCAAAATGTTTTTCTTTTTAAAGGCAAATAACTTCTTTGTATTACTAAAAAAATAGTTTTCACCTCACAGACTTCCTGAGTCTTGGGAACTCTAGGGAGGCCTGTGGACCACACTTTGAGAATTACTGTTGTATAATATTTTTAACACTGTAGGGTATTACATTGTGTGGGTGAACAGTTTATTTAGCCAGTGTCCTTTATCGTTGGACATATGAGTTACTTCCGACTTTTCTCTATTACCAATTATGATGTAGTTAAAACTTTGCTTGCATCCTGAATTACTTTTCCAAGATAAAGTCTTAAAAATGAAATTGCTGCCAAAGAGTACACATTTTTCTAAAAAAGAGGCTTCTGGATATTGCTACATTGCCTTCCAATAGGTTTATCAACTTACATTTTCATTTTATATGAGTATCCTTTGAGCTTCTTACTAATGCTGGTTATCTTTGTTTAAAAAAACAAAAAAAACTTGCCAAATATACAGGCAATAAATGGTATCCCATTTTTGTTTAATTTGCATTTCTTTGCTTTCTAGTTAGGTTTTTTCATATATTTATAAAAATTGACAAGATGCATATTTATGTACTTTGCCCATTTTTCTATTGGAATAGTCTTTTGGATTTTATCCTTTAGCCTATCATTTATATTGCAGACATTACTTCCCTGTACTTGTTTACCTTTTAACTTTGTGTAGTTTATTTTTATAATACATGCTTTTAATTTTAATGAAATTACATATTAGTCTTTACATATTTTCTACCTTTGGCATCATGCTCAGAAGACTTCATCCTAATATTAAAAATATTTACTTTTCCAGTAGTTAACTCTTTAATCCATTAATCATTATTTTGATATATGATTTGAGGTAAGGATCTAACTTAATCTTTTCCCAAACAGTTAACCATTTATTCTTTTTTTTTTTTTTTTTTAAAGATGACCGGTAAGGGGATCTTAACCCTTGTCTTGGTGTGGTCAGCACCACACGCTCACCCAGTGAGCGAACTGGCCATCCCTATGTGGGATCCGAACCCGGGGCCTTGGTGTTATCAGCACCGCACTCTACTGAGTGAGCCACGGGCCGGCCCAACCATTTATTCTTTAACTTTGTTTTCTTTTTTAAATGGCAGCTGGCCATTACGGGATCCGAACCCTTAACCTTGGTGCTAACAACACCATGGTCCAACTAACTGAGCTAACTGGCCAGCTCCTAAATTTTTTTTTTATTGTGGTAAAATATACATAAAACTTTACTATTTTAACCACTTTTAAGTGTACAGTTCAGTGGCATTAAGTATATTCATTGTTGTGCAACCATCACTACCATCTACCTCCAGAACTTTTTCATCTTTCCAAACTGATACTCCATACCCATTAAACAATAACTCTATTCCCTCCTCGCCCAGTCCCTGACAACCACCATTCTGCTTTCCGTCTGTATGAATTTGACTCTTCTAGGTACCTATTGTAAGTGGAGTCATACAGTATTTGTGACTTTTGTGACTGGCTTCTTTCACTTAGCATATCTTCAAGGCTCATCCATGTTGTAGCATGTGTCACAATTTCCTTCCTTGTTAAGGCTGAATAATATTCCATTGCATGTATATACCACATTTTGTTTATCCATTTATCTGTTGATGGATACCTGGGTTTAATCCACCTTTTGGCTATATTAAATAATGCTTCTATGAACACAGGTGTACAATTATCTATTCAAGTCCCTACTTTTACTTCTTTTGGATATATACCCAGAAGAGGAAATGCTGGATTATATGGTAATTCTATGTTTAATTTTTTGAGGAACCTCCATATAACCACTTGTTTTTGTACCACTTAATAAAAAGTCCACCATTTTCCTCTAAGTTGAAATACTATATTTTTCATGTACAAAATACTTGAATTTGTTATAAGGTAATAGAGTGAAATGGTTAAGAACAGGGACTTGTGAGTCATTTGAACTAGATTTTGATCTCTGCCCTGTCAATTGGAAGCTGCATGTCCCTAACCAAGTTGCGTAACTTCTCTAAACCTCATTTTTCTCATTTGTAAAATATAGTCAAATAGAAGTAATATCACTTACCTATAGGATTGTTACAAAGATTGAAGGAGAATGTATAGCTTTTAGAACAGTGCCTTGATTATATCGTCAATAAACGGCTGCTATTATTTATGGACTTTCTATTCTATTTCGTTGATCTAGGAATGGAAGGAGAAAAATTGAAGGGAGTGGAGTAGTACAAGAGAACTATAGGAGCGAAGACAGAGAGACAGGGAAAGACATGATAACTTTTAGGGCACTTTTCATCAAAATGTGGTGCAATATCTTTGTAGGTTAATAAATCGATTTAATGGCTTTGACCAGCATTTTGTTTTAAATGCATAAATATATTGCAATTGAATAGAAAATATGATATATTGGAAGTATTAAGATTGTTCCAGGAAACTCTTGTTTCAGCATATATATATATATATTATACATATAATTATATATATATGTACTGAGATGAGATGTAAAACATATTTCTTATTGTAGCTCTTGAGCAAAAAGGCTGAAAAAAAAAAAAAAGACTATTTTAGCACCCAGGGGTAGTTCCTTTTAGCAGAATCAGAGTTTAGGCAGGAAAGTTCCACACATCAAGGTGCATCACAGGTTGGGACCACACAGCATTTGGAAAATCTTGAATGACACACTTAATACTCCCTCCACCCTCACTTTCCAAATTGTTAGCTTTATTATTTTTTTCCCTTTGTTAAAAAAAAAACACTTTAAAATTATACGTTTTATCAAAACGATGCAGATGAAGCAAGTAGCTCTTGACCACCTATGAGGACACAATCCTAGTCCTGGCCCCCAGAGGTAACTATTATTAGTTCCTCTCTACCTTTTCAGAATTATTCCTTTGCATGTGCAAATACATATCTTGTGGAAACTGGGGTTTTTTTTCTCACTTACTTTATGTTGGTCTTTTTAATATAGATTTACCTTGTGCAACAGCTGCATGTTTTTCGATAACATGGATGTACAATAGTTTATTCTGTCTTCGCTCTACCAATGACGACTAGAGATTTTCAGTTTTTCACTATTTCCCTAGCACCACTCGCAATAAAGCTGGGCCCGATCTTTTTTTGTACGCATATGCAAGTGCCCACGGGCTTGACTTCCAAAGATGGAAGAGCCGTGAGTACTTTCTTTTTCATTTTGTTGTCTCTGGAGAACCACCGCAGGTCCATCGGGCGACAAAACACTCCCAGGCCCCAAACCGGCTAGCCAGGACAGGTTCTCCCTTAGCCCCTGACAGCTTTCTTCCTTTCACAGTGGACGATGAATTTGGGTTTTTTTACCTCGCAGATGCAACAGTTCCTAACACCAAAACCAGATATACAACCACCCAGCAACCAAGCTGTACAACTGACAAATAACAGGTAAAAAGCCTCCAGCCCCCTCAGGTCGTGACGTTTGCTTCCGGGAAGCTGACCGGAAGCCGCTCCTCGGTTCTGCGTCAAATCCGACTTCAGGGACCGTCGTAAAAGTGTCGCCCCTCGTCTCTCGGACGCGCCACAGGTTTCCGCTTACCTCTGGCCGGGGGTCGGGAACTGCGGGCGTCAGTTTACCTCAAGATGGCGGATGAGGAGACCGGGGGTGCGGAGAGGATGGAGATCAGCACTGACTTGTCCCAGACCCCTCAGCGACTGGCATCTGTAAGTCCTTTTAGGCAAGTTCCTTTTGTCCTCCCCCCAATCCCTTCCTGCTTCTCTCAGGAGGGCTTCACCCCTTGTGGAATCTTCAGGGAGGGGAAATCATAAGGATTGATCTGGAAAGGAAGTCACTTAATAAAAAGTTATTCGTCACCGACATTCCTGCCAGCCTGGTCTGCGGAATATAATGACTTTGCCCTTTATTAGCCTTGACGAGCTTGAGCATGAATGTCTCTATCCTGAAGTAGAACGAACTGGTGATATTAGACGGTTTGATGTGGGGCCGAACGAAGCGGGGTTGAAGAAAGAGCGGTTTTCCGATAGACGCAGTGCTAACCTCTCTTGATAGGAATCCAGGACGCGGTACTTGGTGTTGTATTGCATAGCTGGCTGGTTGGGACCTTATAGTGGCAGGGAATGCTGCCATTGTCAAGTCATGTCAAGATGTGGGGTGTGGGAATTGTAGTCCTTTATTATAGCATCTGGAAAAACCCAGGCCTGATCCTCAATGGATAAGCCCGTCATCTGTCGCTGATTTTTAAAGGTGAGGAAGGGACTCCTAGACATTTCAAGTAAGAGCAATACTTTTAATATTGGAATGTATCCTTTGCTCTTGTATTTTGAAAGAATGGGAAGGCAGAGATAGTGAGCAAATTCAATCAATAGTGTGGCTACAGGGAGAAAGCTGACTGAGGAGGATAAGAGGTAGCAGCCAATATTAGGGAATGTTCTGGGGGTCCCAGGCATCGAGCGGGAAGATACGTAGGAAATATTCAAACATCAATCACTGCCTGTTGCTTTATCAGTTTGTCTTTATAACTGCATATAAAAAACTGTGGGATGTATACCTCTTTCTTAAATTTCTTTGATTTGTAGTTTTAATAAAAGCATTCTTGACGTATTTTAACCCCGCAGACACTTGAGCATTGTTTTATGAGAGAACAGAGTGAGCTCCAGAAATGAGTCAACCCAGGGACTAGACAGACGGGCTGGAACATAGAAATCAGGTAGGGAGGGAGTTGGAATAAGAGTCTGGCCACTGTCTAGGTCAGTACTTGCAACCTTCCTCCACCCCACACAGCAGTTCAAACTCGCTTCACTACTGGTAGCAAAAGAGGAAGCATTCATTTAAGATGATAAGGAATTAGAAGATAGGACAAGTTGTAGAAGCAGCTGAAACATCTTGTCTTAATGGTAGCTTGTGCTTTTTACATGTTAGAAGGAGTAAAGAAACTATACTGTGGCTAGAACAGTTGTAGTTTTGTACTGTTGAAGATGACTGATATTTATTTAAAGGTTTGGTATATTCATTCCTTTCAGATGGCACAGCAAAGCCTCATCAATCGGGACTCCACTAATTTGGAATTGGAGATACTGGTACAGGAATTGAGCTAGAATTTATGTGGCAAACTCTTTATTTCAAGAAATATTATTAGATTTCTTTGGGCAAGTCTTGGATTTTGCAAAGTAGTAGGTAGATAGTGTAATGCAGCCTCAGGGAGCTCAGTCTAGTGAAACAGATAATACAAGTTCTCAAAGAGTTTAAGTTCAAGATAGGGTGTTGTAAGTGGATATAGACCTGTGACTGTTTACCTTCCACCTTTCTCTCTTGAATCTCTCTATTTGCTTGAGGAACCCAGAAATCATTCTACCTTCCTTTTCTTTTTAAAGCTACTATCTTCAATTTTATTCTGGCATTGTAGTAAGATACTGGCTTTCCAGTTTACTACTTCTTTGTTATTAAGCAAAACAAGCTTAGTTTTTTGTTTTTGTTTTTTTTAATTTGAACGATTTATACTTTAAATCACCATTGAAGGCAGGGGAAAACAAAAATAATAAATATGGGAAGTTATAGACATTTAAGAAATCTCACCATTCCATTAGAGTCTTATCCCTGGTTATACCGTCTGTGTTCCTTAAATCAAACTTTCTTCTTAGACCCCAGATCATTTTTCTGTCATATTGCTATCAGCCAGCACGAAAGCTGTCACATTCCTAACATCACCTAACATGTAATTAGGCTGAAATAATAGGTATGAATTATTGGACATTTATATAAAAGCCATTTCTTAAGAGTCACCAGCAGAGCTGATTCTGTAGGTCTGGGTTGAGGTCCAAGAATATGCATTTTCACAAGCATACCCTGCTGATTCTAAAATTCTGGTCTATGGCCACACTTTGAGTAACACTTAACTAGACATTGGAAGTTATCAGTGCAGAATTGACAGTTGAAGTTGTGTGAATAGGTAAGATCTTTGAGGAGGAAAGTGTATGTGTGTGTGTATACGTACACACACACGGTGGGTGGAGAGAGAGAGAGAGAAGCGGGAGAAGATTCCAGGAGTGATTGAATTTCAGGGGTAGAAGATGGAGGAAGAAGAACTAGAGAAAGACCTGGAAACAGAACTGCTAAGCAAGTAGGAGGTGATAGTAGTGCAGAGACATAGGGTGTAGTTTTCAGGAGAGGGTGGTTTATTAGGTCTATGATGATGAGGACTGAGAAAAATTGGGAAGACAGAGGGTATGTGGTGTGGTCTGCCAGAACTTCTGCCTTCTGTCTTCTTTGACTGGATTTTCTTCCTTAAGTCCTTCTCAGAAAATTATCTCTCGGCATAGTACCAAGCTCTTTTCTTTTGCCTGTCTATACCCTCTGCCTAGGTGATTTCATCTAGTTTTGTGGCTTTAAATACCATCTGTATGTGTTCAGTTCCCCAACTTATACCTCTAGGTTACTCACTTCTGAGCCCCAGAATCATAAATCCAACTGCCTACTTGGCATCTCCACTTGGATGTCTGATAGGTGTTTCAAACAGGGGGAGCAAAAAGGAAGTTACTGTAGTAACACTAGCCATAGTTGGTGGTTGCTCACACTAGGCAGATTATCACTGGAGATGGAGAGGAGTGGATGAATTTCAGAGATTTTGGAAGTATGGTAGAAGCAAAAAGACTTGCTGATGGATTAGACATGGGGGAAAAGGGATGACATCTGGATCCCAGCTTTTGGCTTAAAGCATTTGTGGTAATGTTTGTGTCATATACTGAGAGGAAGGACCAGGTTTTAGGAAGGAAGAAGAGGAAGGCAAATCAAGAGTTTTGTTATATTTGCCTCAGTAGATGTTACCTCCATAATAGCTCTTGAACACAAACAACTCTCTCTGTCTCCATTCTACCTGTGTAGTCTAAGCCACCATCTGTTGCCTGGGCAACTGCAGTGACCTCTTAACTGGTCCCTTTACTTCCACGTTTGCCCTCTTCTGTCCATTCTCCACAGAGCAACCACAGTAATCTTTTAAAGACTAAATCAGATCATGTCAGTCTCCTGCCTAAATCTTTCAGTGGCTTCCCACTGTACTTAGAATAAAGTCTAGACTCATTATAAGCCCTATAAGTCTTTGCCTGGTCTGCCTCATTTCCTTTTACTTTCTCCACACACTTTCAGCCACCCTGTTGCTAAAACAAGCCCAAGTGCTGTGTTGCTTTAGGGCCTATGCCTTTGGTTGCTGTTCCCTTTCTGAGAGCTCTTTTACTATGCTTTTTCTTGACATACACCCTATCTAAGAGATGGGTTCCTCTTATTCTCTGTCAAAGCACCCTATTTATTTCTTCCACTCCACTATTACAATCTGTAATTACTGTATTGCCTTTACTTACTTACTGAAATTTCTGTCTTTCTCATCAGAATGTAAGTTCCATGAAGGAAGGATAATGTTTGACTTGTTCACTGATGTATCCTGGTATGTGCTTGATATGGCAGATACTTAGATACTCTTAAATGAATGAATAACAGGATTACCATCAGTGATTTATTTTAAGAAGATTGGTAGTGAGTGGGGGATGGAGGTTGTGGATGGAGGAAGGGAGGAGGGAATGAGGGGGCATATTAGGATAGTGGCTAATCTTGGAGTCCAGGCTGACGGGGGAGACAAACAAAGCCCAAACAGGGATTCTGGGGGCACTGGTGGGATTTGAAGTATTAAAGGTCATGATGTTGACATAAGTGGAAGGACTAAATATTCTGATCAGAAAGGGGAATTTTAGAGTTTGAGAACATGGGAAAACATCAGCTTTTTGTGTTGGTAGAGCCAGGTTAAATGCACCTCTTATGTGTTCCTATAGCACCTTTTCCATACACCTTATGTATGTAGCATGTCTCAGGCTATATGCTATGTTACCTGTCATACTCTGTGTTACTGTCTTTACTTCTAGATAGTAAACTCCTTGATGGAGTTTGGATGTATTGTTCTCCCAGAACTCATGTGGAAATCTGATCCCCAATGTGGCAGTGTTGGAAGCTGTTTGAGTCACGGGGTGGGGTGGGGGCAGATCCCTCATGAATAGATTAATGCTCTCTCTAGGTTGGGGGAGTAATGAGTGAGTTCTTGCTCTATTAGTTCCTGTGAGAGCTGGTTGTTTAAAAGACCCTGGCACCTCCTCCCTCTCTCTCTCTCTCTCTTCCTCTTGCCATGCGATCTGCTTGTACCCGCCAGCTATCTGCCACTATCCGCCATCGCCATGAGTAGAAGCAGCCTGAGGCCTGCGCCAGATGCAGCTGTCCCAGAATTGTAAGCCAAATAAACCTCTGTCCTTTATAGATTACCCAGTCTCAGGTATTCTGTTATTAGCAACACAAAATGGACTAATACACTCTTTGAACTGTTCCTTGTTCACATCTGCATGTCCAGTACCTAGCACATTGCTTCAGAATTTTTATTGAATACATGAGTGAATAAAGACACACTATATGAGATAGAATGGAGGGAGAGATAATAGGAATTGAAGAGGTTAAGAGACAGGCTAAAGTTTAAAATTGAATAGAGAAGGTTTTTTTTTTAATTAACATTATTGAGGTATATTTTACATACAGTAAAATGCACCAATTTTAAGCATTTGCTGGATAAATTTTGACAAATGTGTATACCTATGTGATTACCACCAAATCAGGATATAGAACATTTCCATTACTCTCCAAATTGTCTCGTGCCTAAATGGGGGGATTTTTTAAG